AGCCTCCAATCTGGACCCTTTGACACCTTCCAGACTAAAACAAACACTACAAAGTCACCACAATATCGAGGTGTCCACACATCTGATCAGCCAATTCTTCCTTCATATCGGCTCACCATCCAAATATTTCCTCGACTTACAGCATTTCGCGCAATGGGCCGTTCCGCTCTCAGTCGAGTTGCAAGACAAAGTCCGAGAAGTAGTGAGGCAGATGCTTGTCAAGGGCAAAGGCGGCGGTGGACGCGTCGGTCTTGACCGATTTCTGGTACACTTACAGCGGCGAATACAGGATTCACCGCACTACAGGAATCACGAGAACACACAAGTTCATCATGTTCCGATGCAGGTATTGCTGTCGAAGCTGCACCTGCTCAATATTTCACTTCACAAACGGGAATTATTGACGTTACTTCGACATTTTGGAATGGAGGAAGACCTCGAGGCTGTGGACTACGCACGCTTTGTGAAGCACTTGCATGAATTAGCCAATTAACATAGAATTATAGTATTTCTCAGAAAGTTTGACTCACGATTGGTGATGTTTTCATGCGCGAGACGAGGTTCGGAAAGATCGGTTTGGAATGAAATGGACGGGATAGTGAACCGAATGATTTATCATTGTAAGTTGCACACAATGGCACGCATTGAAAATACACGAGCAGTTCGTTATCGTTCAACAGAAAGTGCAAGTCTGCATGAGCCACTAGTGATTTCTATCAATTTTACACATCCTGTCAATACGCCACGATACCGTATCACTTTCTGCGTGAAATTCATCGAGCTCCAATTGCAAAGAATCTCTCAGGCTATTGTATGCCAAATGCTCAATGCTTCCGCGCTAATGAAAGAGCATCGACGTACCGTGTGTAATTGTAACATTTAACAATTACATGATAACAAATAACCGTTAAATTTGTGACATGTAACATGACATTCAGACGAAAAAAAAACCCATTAAATTCTTAATGTTTTTTTCCGTCTGAATGTCATCCCGGCCAATCGGATCTCTCGAAGAATTTTTTTTCCATTGTATTTCGAAAAGAGTCGGAGGATCTCACTGAGATCACCAAGCATGTGGTTATCGTATGCTCAGTTCAAGGTTACTGCAAAGCATCGACATTATTAATACCATCTAACCTAACCGGAATCTGCTGGTCCACTCCGACACACTGTTCATTTCACGAACAGCGCATCTTTCCACAGAGCAAGATGAATTATGAGGAGCTCGAGGCGCTCGAGGCAGTGTTGGCCTTCGTCAACGCCCGTGACGATACAACGGACCTCTCTCCCAGTCATAGTACCGATGCGAGCAGTTACAGCGTGCCAATAGTGCCTGACGACGCCGTGTGGTTGTCGGAGGTTACAAGTGACAAAAAGGGGATTTGTGAGCCAACCAGTGCCGTGAAGCAAGAGATTGTCCGCCTAAAGGAAATGATAAAGATTCCAGGAAGAAATCGATCCCGAGACCTCCGAAAGTTGGAGACACTGCAGTTGCAAATGGAAGCGGAAGAGTTACAGCAACGAATACAAGAGCTGCGTTATACGAAAATGCCCGTCGACGAGGAGCTTCTCCATCCCTCTACTGGCACGATCCAGCGACCCGATGGAGGTCGTCTAGATGCCTGGCTAGGTTTGGCGAAGAGACAGAAGCGACTGCGAAATGAAGCGGAGTCTGAAAACGAGTATCTTCGGGGGCTCGTTCAAAGCCAAATGAAAACTATCCAGAAGCTGAAGCGGCTATTTCACAACCAGACAGTGGCAAAGGTATGTTTGAGCAGTAGTGGTTCATCATCTCGTATCTAAGTTGACCAATTTTTTTTCTTCTCTCTACGTTGGTACAGCAGAAATTTCCATCCTTAGTTCGAAGGATGATCCCAACCTTCGTCCCGGATAATGGTGATCATGGGCTCAAAGTGTTGGAGCGACTCGGCAGCAGTCTAAACGATTTGTTTCTCGAAACCGATCATGTGTTTCAGTCGAATGGCTTCAGCTCCATTTCGTCTCCTTTCTCACAGGTGAATACTCAGCCACTGTCGTCTTCCAGCACGCGAATTGAGGTGCTCAAGTGCGATGTACTTCCGTTCGACTATCGTACACTTGCAAAGGCAATCATGAGGAATTTGGCATCGGATTATACGTCAGATGGCAAAGGCAAACACATCCCCGTAAGTACTTATCTCCAAATAAAAGTATTGTCCATTCTACTAATCTGGTATGCCTGTATCTACTTCAGCCCAACCTAGACATGAAAGTGGCGGCACGAGTCGATACATTGGTTATAGAAGAACTCATGAAGATACAGCTTCGCTACATGGCAGTCAGACACGCGGAAGATAACCGAGAAGTCATCGTGCTTACAGGTCAGGATGAACTCTTGGAGGTGTTTGGAGTTGCAGTGGACGGTATCAAATTACAAGAACGATCCTGGTGCGTACTCTCTGCTATGTCGCCGGGTGTATGTCTTCTTCAAATGTGCATGACTGTAACGGTACAAGCTCAGCCATTGCTTAAGGACCGTCGTGAGTTCACCAACAAAGTGTACGACCTAATAGCTCGTTTCGAACAAGAGATGTCTGATTCCTCGCTGAAGGAAGTTGAGCATGAGCTCCTCCATGCTGCTGCACAAAGTGGTGTTTCTTAAAACTTTTATCGCCGTAGCTGAACGAATAGTTAACGACTTTGATGAAAGACAAAGTGGTGCACGGATAGACGTATTTGAGGGTCGAAAGCGGAAAACGGTGGGGAGAGCGCGTGGAAGTGAAGATCCATCACGTTGAAGTGTCAATTCAGTGTTAATTCAGTAATGAGAAGCACTCAATTTCAAGTTCTGGAAATCGTATTGATCACAGAAGTTCACGAATTCATCCGTCGCACTCACACAACAGAAAATCGAGCGAATTAGCTGATGCGGATAACGAAAAGCAGACCATTTCAAGTCTTCGAGTCCTTGAGATCACGGTATCAGAGATTGCAAGTCAATTTGTGGATTCGAGAGGAAATCTTCAACCAACACGCGCTTTTCATTATGTTTTGCTTGGATCAACGGTATCCGGGCGAACACCCCCAGGCTCTCCGCTTCGACGTTCGTTGTTGAGTAATTCCACTGTCCGTAGCTCTGGATTATCACAAACAACCCCAAAGAAGCAACGAGTACCAGCAGCCTCCAATCTGGACCCTTTGACACCTTCCAGACTAAAACAAACACTACAAAGTCACCACAATATCGAGGTGTCCACACATCTGATCAGCCAAT